AAAAGAAAATAGTTTCCGAACTCCGCACGAGGACTTCGTTACCATTAATAACGTCGTACTAGCGGGGAAACACGGCTGATTTCAATATAAATTTTTAATCGTTGCACCAGAACGAGTATTCGATTGAACCTATCTCGCCGAGAATTTAAAATCACCGCCACGTCGAAGACGTTCATTTCCACCATGCCATTGAAATAAATTTCCTACTAGATAGAAGTAGTCAGCCTTCACACATCCACCTTGTTCGACTTCCATTTCTCAAGCAATTTCCTCGTAGCGGATGACCAGACCGTCCTCAACAGCCGCCAAAGTCCCTAACAGTGTTCTAATATTCCGCCAAGCAACATTTCTGAAATTACGAAGAATATGAAGAGTAAAAGGGTATATTTGCCTTCAAAACCAAATAGGAAGAATTTTAGAACTGGATTTTAAATCCTCGTCCCTGTGAAGAGTGGAAAATATGGCTCGTAATATGCTCTCTCCTCACATTCTTCATTTTCTCAAACTCCAGCGTATTGTAGTTTATATTATTACGTTACCGTATTCGTTGCTCGGGAAAAGTCCTCGTCCGAAAGGATTAAATTACCAACTTTTGCGATAATGGAACACATCGATCTTCCCGCAAATTCGTCGTCTTCTCCAGCTTTGCTTCTAACGAAGATCGAACGATCGCTTCACGCGTTCGTCACGCTGAATTTTTCATTTCCGTTCGTCTGAAACGCACTTATCTTCGCCTTCGTGACGGTCGAAACCAGTTGGAAAAATCCGTCTTCAGAGTAATCCAGTCGCAATAGAAATTGAGCCGAACCGTGGCACCATGCACGCGCAGCCAGAGCTCGCTGAAATTGGCCCCGATTCCGTGCCGTTAAACTCATCGGCCCGTTTCCCTCGTCAGCCCCCCGCCACCGGTGGAGACAAATGGATTTCGGGGAAACGATGGAAGAAATTCCGTGGGATGAGCGTAGGATAGACGAGAAGACGAAGGATGATTGTGCTTCCTCTCGTCGAGTAATTGTAATGGGCATTTCTGGAAAAATTCAAAATATTTTTTTGTACGATAATATATGAAGATTGCAGGATGAAAAGCCGATAGGTAGAGTCCTGTTAATATATTTTCATCTTAATATCCCTTCATGAGTAAAAAGGGGTGTTCTGATACGACGTAATAAAGCTATAAATTCTTCTAAAGAAATCCAGCGAATTCTCGGCCTGCCGATTTCAACGTAATAAAAAGGCAAAGTAATCAATCGGCGGATTACATATCGCCTTCTAAATCCCAAATCACTGCCGAGATACGAGATGTTTTTCAAGATATCGTATTACTTTCGATCCGTTAAAGGGAACTATCGCTAATTAAATTGAAATGGAACAAAAAGTCATTGAAATTTTAAGATTTCCACAGGCTAAGACACGATCGCGCGATTCGATTATCATTGGGCGTGGGACGCGTTGGAAAACTCATTATGATGATATATCGAGATAATCGATGTGGTTCGGTATAATAACGAGTTATCGGAACGATTAACAATTGGAATACACTGGTGGCGTTTGGTTAATTCATTTCCGACTAGGGAACGGCTTGCGCAAAAATGTAATTGTATCGACCACGAGCGGCATGAATTTCATTCCTGCCCCGGCTGCAATTAACAGGTAACAGTTCACGTCATTCAACCGTAATACTTTCTGTGTACAATATTCCTACATTGTTTCATTTAGTAGTTGAATTATTATTGCCGGCAATATTTCATTCTTTGTATACTTTATTCCTCGGTAGTACTTCAAGCGTCCATTTTACGATTAATATCGCAGAATGTTCTTAATAATCTCAACGTTGAACACGAAAAGCAGCAAAAGTGCATTATTTCCTCTTATCGTGATCATCGTTACCTTTGTAAAACTATTACCTGTGGACACAGTATTTCGTTAACGAAGTAGGACGGTAAAGCGAACGAATGTAAAAATATGGAAAACGTACATGTGTGTATATAGTGATAAAGTAATCGATCGTGTTTAATCGATTAATATATTTCCAAGTCTGGCGTATATCATTTGCAGCGTAACGAAACGACGTTGCCGACGTGATTTCGTATTAACCTCAGCCATTTATCTTCGATCCAAGCTTATTAATTTTACATCGAAAAGTTTGATCAAAATCTAACAGAACTCAAAGTTTCATGTTTTCGTAGAAACATTTCAAGGTACCGAGTTTAGCAGCGGACACGGACGCGTTCAGTAGAGTTTTCTTTCTATTTACCCCAGGTAAACAGTTTCACCATCGCAAAATGCTAATTGATCGAAGAAGTCGCTTAATTCTATACCTCATTCTTAGTTAACAGGCTCAAAAAATTGCTCGAGAACTTGTTCCGCTTGCAGCAGCCAATAAAACAAACGATGTTCTAACGATTCGGTGAATCCAGTCACGTTCATGTGTTAACGACGATGGTCAGTATGAAACGAAGTGAAAAACACGTTGCTTTAGTCCATACAGAAACGTAATATTTTTCTCCCTTGTTTGTCGCCCCTTGAGAAATTATTGATCAACTCGTAATATTACAGAGTTTGTAAGTTACGAATCGGTGCTTATAGACTTCCTTTGTACAACTTTACAGTTTTACAATTTTACGCCAAATAAGATGATCAACTAACTTGTAATTTGCAAAATTTCGATACTCTTGAAATATTTTGTCAAGGTCAGCATTCTGAATAACTTTTTCCAATACGAAAAATAAGAAAAAGTTCATCGGAATGGTGATCTTGACACCGTATTTCAAGGCTATCGAAATCAGCCAAGAGATAACTATTCAACATCTGGACCCGAAACGATTATAATATTTTATGTGTAGATACAGTACTTAAATTAAATTTTACAGTTTGAAAGATTACTTCAGATTTTTTTTAAAGAATTTCAAATCACTTGAAAGTAGGTTCAATCCTTCCACTTAAAAATCGGAAAATATTGTAATAACATTTAGGTCTTTTAATTGTCTTCAATCCACAAGCTTTCTATGTATTTCGACTCGCGTTCAAGCAGTTCTACGGTAAATCACGTGCTGTCGGATGGATTGCTGTTCCACATTTCTTTTCTCATATTCGCGATACGATGCCATTTCGATTATATTTAAGAAAAGTTAGACGATTACGCAATGGCCGCACGCAATATTCATTCGATTTACATAAATTATTGCCGTTTCCCCTTCAAAAAAAAAGCGTCGAGAACATTAATTACCAATGACCACGTATCCTCTGTCGAGCTTAATGCTAGCAGCGGCGGATTATTAAATATCCGATGACTGGCACGGAATGCAATTTTCTCGGATAAAAAGCTTCGCTCTCGGGTGTATCGCTTTATTACGACTTCGTAAGATCTGTCGAAGTGAACAAGTATACCAATCTGAAGAAGCAAAACGAATAAAAAGCGCTTTATGTTTATATCTTTGTAACTTTGAGTAGATTTAATCCCAAGAAATACATTTATAAGATCCGACGTGTTTACGAGTCCACGAAGAACTTTTAAAATATATTATTTTCGATAGTTAGAACACGTAATTATAATTCACATAATATTATAGGGACCAGGGATTTATTAATTAAGGGGTCGAAAAGATAAACAAGGGAAGATTTTCAATAGAAACGAAAATCGTGTTTTTATTAATTTTGATATTTATCGGTTGAAAGAGCTTTTAGCGTTTGCCACCTTTAAAAATTGCATCGAAATAGTTCAATTTATCTGATCAGATTTAACCACCAATGTTGTCAAAATAATTAATTCACGATCTTTTATGGAAATTTTATGGATTTACAATGATACGCTTTGTATAGGGTGGACGCTGTTCTAGCGTTTCATCGTATACATCAAATTTACATACTTTTCTACAGGAAGATTATTTTTTTATTTTCCCACCGTCTGTTTCATTTATCGTTTCAATATCTCGATTCTCGATTGTGTTAAATTTCCAATTACAAACCGTACATTATCGTATCATTGACTACGTTTGGTAAAACGGAAGTGATTCAACGAACTCAATAACGTGAAAATTCAATTACAGTTCGTTTGATGGTTGAAGGATAGCTTTTATTAGATAAAGGACCTATTTCCTCCTGTTGATCGGTCACGTTTATGATTAATCGTTCGAATGGATCACTGCTCGCTTACCTATTGCTCGCGCTATTTCATGGAAATATTCGTCGCGATCACGAGCCAGCGAATCGAAACCGATGAGCGATGCAACGCGACGCGTACGTATCTGGGTCATCTTTATAAAAGCCGGTTTATTACGTACCTGGCGTGTTCTGTAGCTTGCGGGAAATTGATTCCATACTGTTGATTATCTTTTCCAGGCTAAGCGTATACCGAGGATCGTACGTTTCGTGTTCGTGGACACTTCGCATGCTGACCGAGTAAAAATATTCGATAAAAGAAGTAAAGTACGTTGATTAGCTTTCCGTTTTTCGACATTTCGTCAAATGGTCTCGTTTACCAGTACATTATGGGTCTTTACTATGCCTATCAGTCGAAAAAGACACGAAGTTCTCTGTTTACATGAAACTTCTTCGTAAAGTTTAATCAAAAAATTTAACAAAGCGAACGTGACTCGGCGAATAAGCAATACAGAAAATATTTATTAAGATCGATGTGAAGAAGTAAAAGAAATATATTTGACTCGATATGCGTTACAGCGTGCTACGTAAACCGTCGTTTCTCCTAAGTTTAAATTTCGCACGTCAATATCATCATATTAAATTTTGTTACATCGTCAATTATCGATCGCATTAAAGTTGAAAAAGTTTGTTGAAAAATATTCGGAGAAATTGTAAACGAAGAAATTATAACGACTCTTTTCTGCGAACATTTTAATTCCAACACAGATAATTCCTGCAAATCTGGAATAATGAAATTCTAATCAGTCGCTGGAAAAACAATCAGTAAAAATTGAATCAGTAGAAACTACTTTAATTAAATGTCATCTAATTAAAAAGATTTTTTTACCTTCGTTTTTCAGGGATGAGAAAATGCCTCTGTGATGTTGCATCGAAGCACATCATCGCGACGCTCTAGAGCATCGCGCAATATGACGAATTTTGGTCATACGTCGCCGATCGCCGGACCAAGAGGACGACGCGCTAGCGTGGCAACCGATAAACCTGTCGATTTGCCACCGACGAGTCTACGAGGAACTATGGAACGTCAACGCTCTCCACGGGGCAGTATCGTGCCCGATATTGCTTTATCAATGGGAAACGACATCGAGGTTGTTCATAATTGACAATTCTATCTATTTAGATTTATCCCCTCGCATCCTGTGAATTTGCATGAACAATTAGACTCGTACGAGTCGTACGAGCGTGCTAATGATAAGACAAGCTGATGTATCGCACAATACGGAAGCTTCAAACACGAAGTGATCTGTAAATATTTCACGTGAATTGGAGACGAGAAAGTAGAAAATCTAAATCGATACCGGCACACGACGAGTAACGCGTATCGACACTTAAATGTGACGGAGCATGGCTTCGAAACTTTCGAGAAATCCGCAAAACTTGTTGTGGAAAAAATTTATTCTTAGCGAGCTCGACGTGTGCCAATACTCGAACCATCTTTGGAAATAATTGTCAAACGACGTATCTTGTTCTACGTCATACTTGTCCCCCGCCTTGCAATAATTAATTGGTTAAAAACGTGGTTGAGGTGAACGAAATTGAGGTGAAAAATAGAGCATGGTTATATCGTAGTGTGTGTTCCACTCGAATTTCTTAGAACTTCCTGGCATCAGCGAAATTCCCCCATAGAGATTCACCACGCTGATTATATTCTTACAATTTCCTTTTGCTTTCATCAATTTCGAGGATATACCCTTGACCTTTCAGCCCATCCACCACAAGCCTCTGCTGGAGCGGGATCAATATGGCGACACGCGGAACATGTTCACTCAGAAGATCAGTCGCAGCCCGCGAAATTCCCTGGTTCCGGATGATTATTACAGAAGTTCCCGTAACGGAGTTCGAAGTCCTCGGAACAGTTTGGTTCCAGATACCAACTTGGCACCTGACATGTTATACAGTTCGCGACATTCTTTGGTTCCGGAAGCTCCTTTGAGTCCCAGAAATTCCTTGGTACCGGACGTTACTCACAATAGAAGCCCGAGGAACAGTCTGATTCCTCTGAACGCTTCAAGGACGTCCCTGATGTCTGAAAATGGAAATCCTCCTTCTCGCAGTCCTCGACACTCTTTGATACCCAATTCTTCGAGAAGCCCCCGTGGAAGCATGACCAACATGGAACTGGTCGATCGTAGCCCGCAGAGAAGCCCGCGAGGTTCCATAGCGTCGGAGTGCTTGAATCAGAGTCCAAGAAACTCGATCATTCCATATGAGGTGAACAGATCCTCGCGAGGGAGCATTGGCATGAACGACGCGCCCAGAGGATCGATCGGTGCTAATGAGGAAGAGACGAGAAGCACACGGCGAGGTATCGATTCTGACACGATCGACAGAACTCCGAGGGGTAGCCTCAGTGGTTTGCAGGACAGAAGAGCCGCAAAGGCGAACATGGTGGCGCACGATCCGAGAAGGGCCTCTGCCGATCAAGGTAAGAGTTTGTTTGTTCTAAGAGAATGCTAGAATGCTAATGCTAAAAGAGAATGCTGATCCGATTGGCGATGGGATACCGAAAATCGGACACGAAATTTTCTCTGTCTCTCTTAAAATAGGAAGTGAAAACTAATTATTTATAACTAGGTTTCTCTATCCAATGATAATTTCTACGTAATTTTGAAGTTGATGGTATTAGATCAGTGACGGAAGTCTTCGTATAGTTTATAGTAAAACTATTTTTATTGAAATAAAATTTTATCACGAAGTTAGTATATTTTGTGTCAAGACTAATTGAGAGTTACTTTAGAGGTACAATAAAACAGGCTTCTCACAAAATAACGATATGTACGGTTTGAAATAATAAGCCTATAGAAATTGTATTTTCTCTCTTCTTGTCTCAGTTTGAATATTTTTGCGAAGCAACATAGTTTCCTACAAAATAGCTATTGTAGCGTATGTTGATAAAGATATAATTTATTTCAACGGATATAGAGCTTCTATAGAATGTGCAAATACTTCCGCGAATAAATGTGAACAAACAAAGTCCAATAAAATTTAATAGCATATAAAAGCGACGAGATTTTGTAATCTTCTAAATGCTCAACCATAATATCGTTAGCATCGCAGCTGCGTTTTTAATGTACGCGAATACGGCCATACTAAAGCTATACGGCATGTGCTTTGCTTGTATTTACGAACAAGAACAAGTGTTATAGGATTCAGTTTCATCCACGATATTTACCACTCCATGGAAACGAAAACCGTTATAACGCTTCAACGGCGTCATCGATATGGCGTTACATTCGATGAAATAATTAATCACGTTAATCCTCTCGATGCCGAGTTCTCTCGCTGTAGATCGACGTATGACGCTTTCCAGCAAACGTGATTGAATTACGTTCTCGCCGTATCCGGAGTCTTATGGCAATTCGATGCTCGTTACCCACTAATTTGACGCGACATCTCAAGAGGGCCGTAAATTTTATTCGTTTTGCCGAGCAGTTTCATAGATCGTTGATTCCGCCGCGTCGTAATCGAAGTACAGACAAGCGAATCTGATCACACGTTGATTAACAGGGATTGATATCAAATTTTCAAGTATATAAACTGATGCAAGTGATATTACAAATTTAACATCGAGGATCAAGACGAGGATGAGCGACACTCAGGACGATCATTCCTCCAAAAATAGGATCTCTCGATAAGCTAATAATCCTATCTGATCGTCGGAGTTATTATAGACGAGTGTAGTATGGATAATGATAGGAGCGGGTTAACATCGTGACACTTCGTCGCTTTTCACGCAACCGCATTAATCTAGCTGAGTAAATCTTGTAAATGTGTACGTAACACACCAGGACAACGGAACACGGTTTAGAACGGAATAGGCATCGTGTGAAACTGAAGACAAAGTCATCGTTGAGATGGTTGGTCTATGAATACTATGATACGATTTGTGTAGTTTGATATGAGCACTGAAAATAGTTACACGGAATAATAATACGAAATAACGTAGTGACCTAATTTTTGTTGATCATGTGGCATTATGAATCGGTGCTGTTAAAAAGTTTACGATCGCGTATTATTTTCGGTAAACATACGTATACTGTCGGTTAAAAGAACAAACTAATTAAAGAAAATAAATTTTTTCATTATTTAGCAACGATACATTTCTTTCTTTTATAGTCTTGGTTTTCAGGCTCCTTGGCAAAATATGTATCGTTCATGCGTATTGCTCGTTATTAAAAAAGAAATGGAACTCTTACGTTGAATCGTTCTATCGTCCTTGCTAAAGAGAAAAACTTTATAAGAAAAAGCTATGGCACTTGCCGACGACGCAATAAATAATGTATCGAACAAAAGTAATTTGCTTTGAAATAACCTTAGGAAACAGCGAATTATCGATGCGTTAAAGATTACGCGCTATTATTGATTATCTCTGAGACACTACGTGGAACTCTACTTCCATAAATTCTGGCCAATCGTAAAATAAAAACGTGTACGATTTATTGGCATGGAAAGAACAAGCTCACAAAGAAAATTAATAACTGGATTCTGTCGTGCGACCAATGTCGAGGATAAAAGGAGTTGAACCGTTTAAAACGAAATTGTTCGTGTTTTTTTAACTGTTCTGTCTGAACCCGATTTATACCGATTACTCCGTAGTTTCTGTAAATACACTATTTACAATAAAGAACATAAGATTTATCGTTAGTTTGTTTATCTAAGGAATAACTATTCATTGGTTTTAAAAATGCAATGATCTTCGAGTTTACGTTTAACTGACAATTGCAAAGATTAAAAGCTAGTTCTAATTATTTCTCTTTTAACTTTCAAGTTTAACTTAACAATTGTCAAGACTGGTAGTTAGTTCACTAAAAATCTACATGATCACAAATTACTATTGATGTAAAATGTTGGATGCTTAAACTTTATAAATAATCTTTGAGAAAACTAACTATCTTTTCACTAATTCTTTGCGGTAAAAACGTGAAAAAAACATTGGTTTTTTTCAAATAAAAAGTTTTAAACACAGTTAATTATACGAGACTTTTATTGAAATCTCGGTTCCCTGCAGATAATTATTTTAAAAATGCCAGTAAAATCTCATACATGTTTTATTTGTTACTTATTTGTCTGATAACTTTTGTAGCAACACCAGTATGTGCTCTGCCATACCGGAAACTTGTTACAATTCGCAGAGGAAATGAAAAAGTATGTGGACGAAATTATTACCAAATAATTCCCACTTCTGTAGAATCAACCATATCATTCTATGGCCCATAAATTCATTCGCGTTTCACTTCGTATTGAACGTAAATTATAATATTTGCCTATCTCCTATGTATCATGGATCGTACAATAGCTCTCGACTTTCTGGTTGCATATAAAAATGTTCTTGTTGTTAATATAAAATATAAAGATTTATTGGACAACAGACATTATTTCATCGCAATAACGCCAAAGGTCACGCCGTAAATTTAACAAAAATGGCTCTCCCAGATCCTGGATGGAAAGCTCTGTTGTAGTATCCGCCTTACTCATCGGACTTTACTTCGATGAATTACCATCTTCCCCGTTCTCCTCGAAATGCTTTAGCTGGAGTTTCCTCTCACAACATTGTAAAATTGCGAAATCTACTCAAAAATTCATTTGCGTTAAAACCAACGGAATCGCTGAAGCAAAGAATACAGAAATCTTCACAATGTTAGGGGAAAAGGTTGCAAATAATGATAGAAAATACATGGTTCGTTAAATCGTATCAAACGATTGTGAAAAAACTGAAAATCTTGCATTCGTGAAAGCCATAAATTTATGGACTAGCCTAATATCAATACGCTAGATATTAAGACAATATTTTGAAAGTATATGTACATATCAATGACGCTTCTTTGACCGTTACTTAATTCTTATCTAAAAGAAACTTGTGGTATCAGTGACAAAAATTTTGTTTTTTACGTTTCTGCAGGTGTATACGAGAATCGAAATTCATCTCCATCTCGGCAAAAGGAGGCAAACTCGGGCAGCGCCAAATCTCGCGGAAGTACGGTTCAGATCTCTCTAGGATATGGCCCAAATACCTTCGAAGACTCTAGACGAGCCAGCAGCTCTGTATCGCAGGTACGATATTTTTCATTCACCTTTGACACAGAGGCAGAGTTCAACATTTATTATACGGGATATTCGATAACAAAAACAAAAGGGAACGCCACCAAAAAGCGTTTTCCCCTTGTATACTATAAGCCAGTACCCTCGTTCTTGAAAGCCTTAAAACCTCTTGTATCCTCTTAAGAAAATTTCGTTAGGCAAAGTACAAGCCAACACTACAATTCCTTGAAAGCATCCTACGGATTCATTTCCGAAGGGTATTTTTATTCGTATCTCATATCCCAACAAAACAAACTTTTTCAGCGAAATTTTACATTTTTTCATCCAGGTTTTACCATGGTGAAACATCGTTACGCGAACGCAGAATTTTTCACACGCTCTAGGATTATTTCCCTCTATTTTTTCGAGGTGTATTCGTCGAACAAAGTATCGACCGAGCCTGTATACTCGAATAAAATACTCCACGCGATGATTAGTTCACAATTGTCTAAAACTTTTTTTTTTCGACGCGTCGTCAACGCTGTTATCGAATTTTGTTAGCGAGGACGATGTATATGGTCAGAGTTTGACGCCCAGCGATGACACGTTTGATACGTTTGACAATTTCATCATGAAATACGGTCGCGTGTTTTTCATCTTGTCGCGTAGTCTGCGACCTTGCATCCACCATCGTGTCGGCTTAAAATCTTTATGATATAACGAACTGCCCTGTGGTCATGTGTAGAAACAATCCCCCTCCCGGGAGGATCAAAGAAATGGCTGGATCGTAAAAAGCAGCCAAGTTCCAGACGGTCTATCCGGTTGGGTCGAAACGACCGCTTTACAGCTACGAATTCGCGCGATCATCCTAAGATTCAGACTCATTCGAGTAAACTGAAACGAGAAGGTGACCCTACAGATATTTTCTGACCTCTGGATATTTGAAACCACGAGCCATACCTTGGTGTCTCTGTTTATTTTTCAAAGCGTACGAGAACGACATACTAGAGTTGAAATGGTCGGTGTTCATATTTTAAAATCACCTTTCCACTTGGCCTTTTCGACGGCGATGGCGATTATCATTTATATCTTCTTTCCAAACAAAAATGCATCGATAGTCTCGGTTCAGCTCGTATAATCACGAAGACGAGGCACATGAATTTTGATTATTCGTCGGAAGAGTCACATTTACAAATTGTATCATTTACAATTGTAAATGTGTAATTGTTTAACCGAGAAGAAAGGCAACAGGATATACATGGAATAATTATGTATCGAACAGGATATATATAGTGGTCGATATTTACCATTCACACGCAATTACTACTACACAAAGCTGTCGAACGTAGACCGCGTCCAATAGAAACATTACCTCAATGTTTCGTCAACATTGTAGCTATATTTTTCACAGATTAATTATTCAAACGACACGCTGAAACTGCCGTATAGAAAATATTCTATACATGTATATCATTCATCATGGAACAATGACTATTAATTAGAATCAGTCTAATAACTGCGTAAACTAGAGAGCCTCTAGATATTCGCTACATATACATATGTGTATCAATTCTACTATAATTCGACGATCACAGACATTGACTTCCTCCAGCTTCAAGTTAGAAGCTTGTGGCTTATCTATCGTCCTACGCTCGAGTTTGCGTTTTGCGACCTGAAATCATCGCAAATCATTTCGATTCTTTTCCATTTGACGAGCTTCGAAACTTAATAACTCGCCAAACTTCGATATTCATGTTAAATAGCTTCTCGTAGAGTAGCTCTTAATATAATTAGTTAACGACGTATACGATAACTAGTACGGTAATTAGAAGGCAATTAACGTGAATGTTTCTGTTGATGTTCAGTTTTCAGGCGATGAGTCGCGACGGCTTTTCACCAGCAGCGCCAAAGTGCCGGAGAACACAATGGAGAACAGGAACCTCACCTACGGTTCCGTGGTGTTTCAATTGAAGGACGCGAATCTCGAAGCGAACAACATCTGCGACTTTGTGTTTCGAGGGCTGAAGGTTGTCTGCAGAACCAGGGTGGTTACTGTTTGCCTGATGTGCTTGTCCCCTGTCCCGGTTCTTATGTTTATTTACGGTAAGTGAAGGGAATTAAATGGTCGCTTTTACCGCATTCGCAATCGGACTTCTACTTCGTATGTATGTATTTTGCAAGTAAAGACCACAGGAGAAAATATAATAAAATTTTTGTTGATTTTCTGACTTATATGTCGCTCGGTGGTTAAATTGGAATATTTCAGCGTGAAATGGTTGAAAAAGCAATTAACCTGAGAGATTCGAAAATGTTCACCTTTTAAGAACAGGTAATAGATCCATTGTGTTTCGTAGGAAACAAATCACATTAGTTCAGTTATTGGGTTAGTGTAAGTTTATTCATATTAATTTGCTAATGTTGATAATTATTTACGACGCGGACGATGTCACTAATTTCAATGATCTTGAAATATATTCAAAGAGCTTCAGTTCGATTTTTGTTACGATTAGCCCTCATTCTGGCTACATCTCACGGCACCCGTACTTTTATATAATCCAATCTAATCCATTTACGATAATCATTTTCAACTCATACAGGAAAGAAAAATCAATTTGTTAGGTTTGCTATAGATAATTATTTTCTGCTGTGAAATAAGCTAAGGAATTAAATAATAAGACAGATGCAATTTGTATTAAGCTTTATATTGTGTTGTTGTTATTCGAAATTGAAAGCACTTCAGCCTTCATTTCTAAGATATTGGAAAAAGCGATTATTCGATCATCAAAATCATGCTATCGTCGAAATGGAAACTTTTACGAATATCACGGAAACTAACGCCAGGACGACGGAAATCGATGATGTTGTCCGCTTTGTAAATAATTACCGTAATATTATTAATATTCTGTCAGAAATACATATTTAGTCTCAAACGCAAAGTTAATTTTAATGTACAATTGGCTGACAACCTATCGAATTAAAAAATTCTGTTTTGTAAAATACAGGAAATCTGATTTATCACGTTTTTCATCCGTGGTCTGTAATTGCAATATACTTTTAACCGAGGGAAACTTTAATTCGATTTCCAGATATTAGAGTGCTTCAGATATTTTAAAACGTCATCGTTCATTTAATTTCCGAATGACATTAATTTCTCGTCGAAATATTCACATGATTAGATGTGTTTTAATAGAAGTAAATCCACTTGACGGTAATAGCATAGCATGGATACTCTTCTGTACCGTGTCAATAGCAGCGTGAACGTTTTACTAATCAGATGACGATCGAATAGCGTTTGTATGTGCCTCGTATATTGATAACGAGGCATTTATCACTGGTAACGCGTCGATAACGATATACACGATGGACAACTGGTTGATAAAGTTACTTTGAAAATATTGATTTTTGTTCAGCGTTAGTGTCACCATAATGCTCGTCATAATATATGAAATTTACATTCGTGTTTTCTTAACGTATTCGTTGCCACAGTAAATTGGAACAAAACGTCTACCTTAAATCGTATTTTATTTATACATAGTTAGGAACACGAGTATTGTCGCGCTCTTTAAAACAGGATAGTCTTTTTAAAGTTAGCCCAAGCGACTCGAACTTCTTTTAGAAATCTAAGGGATATTAATTTATTAGATGACGTGCAATAAAAAATGTTTAATAAAATAAAAAATAAATAAAAAATAACAGTTGGTCGGAATCGCGAAAAAAGTAGCAAAGGTCACTTTCAACTTTTTTATCCGAACCTATAATGAAAATTTAAATAGTACGCTTTGTAGACGTTAATTCTATGTTGGTATTAATTATATACGTGAAAATTTTCATCGAAATCGATTGATAAAAAAACAAGTTACAGGTATCGAAGAACGAGTTATAGGTCGAAAGTCATAGAAAATTGAGATTTTCATCAGTGTTAACTGTTTGCAGCTGATAACAAGGTTAATCGTTTTCGATGAAATTCTCGGCATGCTTATGACTGGCATATCCAGGAAACGTGTTGTTTATGAATTTTCATTACAGGATCAGATGAAAAGGTTGTAAAAAGTGACCTTTACTATCTTTTTCGCGATACCGGTCAACTGCAATTTTCCCAAAATTTTTGTTACGCGTTATCTAATAAATTAAATCCTTCTAACTTCTCAAAAATATTCAACTCGTTTGATCCAATTTTTAAAAAGTTATTCTGTTTTAAAAAGTGTGTCAATGTTTATTCTAAACAATGAATGTTCGAGAATTATCTTTTTCCTCCTCTTTAGTTATTTCCTCACTTCAAAATTACATCTAAATTAACATCGTGTACATGTACGATGCTGGTGATGAACGTGTTAATTATTAAGTACACAATAAATAACATCGATGCGTGGACAACTGAACGAACGTTATTGTTTTGGTGTCGCGTTATCAAATGGCCGGTAGTTATGAATATGTCAATGTTGATCTAGTACTATACATATATTTATACTGTTAGTTGGATGACAAAATAATATTTCGAACTGTATAATATTTGCATTACTTTTCTTATGAATTGTCAACAAATAGTTTGCTACGAAGTTGTAAGAAATAGCACGAGATAGTAGTACCATGTACAAAGCATCAATCTACGAACACCTAACAGACCGCTTCGTGTTCACGTCGAATCAATACTCGGCTTATCAATAAATTAGTTGCGAAACTCGGAGAGCTGTCGTTACTTGTAACGTTATCACCAATCCTGGTTTCCACATCCATTAGTTTGAAAAGAGTTAACTTGACAACTAACTTGTCCATAGTACGGTAAAAATCCCACGAGATTATCTTTGTTGTTCGTATCGAGGTGAAGCTTCCTAATTAACAAATAGTAGCAACTTCATTTTACGACAGCCGCGATATAAATTAAGAAAAACGATTTAGTCTGTCAGTAATATCCCTGCGAAGTTTTATTTAAGTTTAGTACTTTCAGTTTTCATATCGAAAGTATATCTCACGTTACGATCCGTTGACATGCACAAAGGGTTTTCCTCTTTTCTAAAAGCCTCTCGATTCCTAAACCGATCATATCAAAATATATGCAACAATGCGTAAAACACACGTTTCAATTTGCATACTATTGGACGTTAATACGATGCAGGAAATGTACCGGTGATGTCGAAGCAGCTCGTTAATCTTATTTCTCTGATAGGTCGCGATTATCGTATTAACGCGATTCCATATAATTTACCGGTATAGCACGACCCAATCTACTCCAAACGATGCGACACGATAAAGAACGAGACTCGACAAATCTTAGAAAGCATCGAAACATTTCAGTTCGTCGATCGTTAACTATCTCGTTAAACTATCTTCTAACATTTACATTTACCTACCTACAAGTCATTACAACTTACTATTATATCCACAGTTCAGACATTAAAATTAATTAACAGGCCGTTGAAAAAGTCCTGGCTTCTCAAGTAAGAGGAACGCGAATATCAGATATATCAGCCTCGAAGGTGAATAATAGAAACTCGGCCGGTTAGATTCAAATCTGCAGCGAAACGTGGGTAAAGATGCAGATACTGACGGCTCTTGCCGCGCCGCCGCGCCGCATCGTCACGAAACAGCATTTTACGGATCGAAGCACGTTCTCGAGGTCCTGAGCCGAGACTCGATGAAACGCGGGCATCGGTTCCAAGCTAATTGACCCTGCCTGGTTTACGACACGCAAGCTCGCGCGCTACTTATGACATGCGAAAAAACACCGCCAGCGAGTTTCCCTCGCGGACTATGAATTCGCGCGAGTCGCCCGGGACAGCGCGTTCACCTCTTCTTCGAGTTATAGAACGTTCTTCGAATCGATAAAGAGTACGCGGTCGGAGAAACGGGAATTACCAACATCGATGAACCTTCCAACCGCGTGAATTCCAGAAAATTTAACAGCGCAGCGGGATAAATGAAATCTACGGTGTTTATTTATTTCACGTGTATCTATGAATAACACTCGTCGCTAATCAATTAGTATTAGACTCTGCAGTAGTGTAACTGTTACTGAATAACTAAGGAAATTTTACTGTGCGGATATTACACAAGGTTGAGAAAAGAGCTGTTTCTTCGTCCAGTTGACGCGTTGAATACAAGGCAATTTTAGCGTGTTTTGCCCACTGCATCAGGGTACTTATCTCAGTATGACGTATTGTTAAATACAGTTACAGTGCAGGAACAATATTGTTTAATGCCAGAGCTACCAAACCAAAATAAACGGATCAGAGTGTTTGTTTTTGTAATTACTAAAAACATGCATGTGCTTCGGGAAAAACTAATGACTCTTATCGTGAACTTAATTAGGACTTAAAATATGATTATATACACTTGTTTGTTTTTATCATATCACTTTGATTCTAAACATTTATGCGTGGTATAGCGAAGTATATTTTTTGTTGTTCTAAAATTAGCCTCATGATGCGTGTAATATTTTATTGTAATATTCAAAACATTACAAATTTTACGAATATGATCGTTTCATTAATTTATATATTTTTTTACCATTATATTATTTACTATTTATATTACTATTGACCATCAACGAAATCATTGTCCGATCTAGTGTCAGTCGCCGAGAATCTTCGCAATATTCGACATTGACGTGTTAATAATATCAAATGATCGATTTGTCTGACTCGATGCAGAGAATCCAAATTCAGGCAAGAATACAAGAAAAAATTGATCGGTTCTATCAGGTTTCCAAAAAATTCAAAAAATCCTAAACCTCGATCTTCTTCTGATGTATTCTGATATTAAAATTACGAGGCTTTCGGAAAACGTAGAATTTGCCTTGTAAATGGTTGACACGTTGTTCGGAGGTTCTTTGAAGATTAGTGATAAATAATCGTAGGTCGCGAAGGGGCAAGGGAGTAAGAATCAGGCGTGTAAGAGTCGCATGCCAAGTTATCCTTAGTTAAGTATCGAAATAGGACGCGACACAGTGAGCAGAAGTCAGGCAACGTCATTACCATTACATTATTCAACGCAGTCAGCGCGAAAACTTTTTGATATCGATCCAAGCGATATATTTGCTCGTTCGACTGTAAATGAACACGAAAACAAAAACGATTATACTGGAGCGTGCGTGCCGCTAGAAAGGAAACGTCGGAAATTCGTTCCTCTTTCGTACAACTCGTCCTGATTTTGTTTCAGGTTTGAGTTTCTCGAAAGAATGTCCCAGAGAGCGAAGGATACCCATATACATGGTGATTGGTGGAACATTCGGAAGCATGCTTATGCCGTTGCTTATCTACTCGCAGATACGTTCAAGGAGACCAGAAATGCTCTCGGTTCCGTCGACCAGATCGCAAATTTCTTTCAGGAAATTGATCATCATCGTCTTATCATGCTTCTTACTGGGGTGGTTCGTGATGGGTAAGTCGAAGGAAAATTCGAGATTCTATAATGCAAGAGCGAGAAAGTTCTTTATTACTGCCATCCAGGTAACATTTATCCCGTGAGAGTTTGTTTCTTGCGAGAAATACATCGTTCACGTGACTCGGTTTAATTCTTCTCGTATGTTAATGCTTTTGTCACGAGCGTCGAGTTGCAAGCTTTAATCCTCCAAATGCCACAGTTCTGGATACAATATGAGCATAATCTCTGTCATTCTGGATACATAACAACAGGTTTCACGAATTTTTGTTAGAATACATGTAAAATATTTGTTTTCTTATTTTTCTTGAGGATTACAGGATTTTTATTATATCTCGTTATTTTAGTCGGTAACGGAAAAATGTAACGTTACAATAAGAGAATGAACGAGATAATACGAATAATGGTATGGCAGTACAAATAACATTCAAATATTACTACTGTATCAGTGCTCACGTAATATTCAACGGGAGACGATGCTATTAGGTTTCGAATGCATATGAAGCTTTGAATGGACGAAAATGCAGGAATATGTTACGTTTAATTGCGTTTAATTACGAATTAACGTATTGAAATAGATATTTTAGTAAACTACGCGTTCGAAACCTATGATTCGTGTTCGAAATAAAATTTCCATCGTTCGTGGGCGACTTAATTTTGAATAACGAAAAAGAACGCTGTAAGTTATAAAGAATTTAAGTGTCGAGGTACTCGATCCCCGAATACTCGCGTCGCACAGAACGTGTTTTTGAACGGCTCGAAACAATGCGAACAAAAGCGATCGATTGCGTTCTGCCGCCGGGTAATTGCTAGACGTCGGTGGTAAACTGCACCGATGCAACCTAATTTTCGTTTCGTGATCGCGTTATAAAGCATGCTGTACGTTTACGGACGCAATTGCGTCCGTTTAAAAACAGTAACGAGTTCAAAGTTTTACACCCCTTCTGTTCTCTCGTGTTCGCGACCAGGTCGTTGCTGTTGCTTCAAGTGTAACACGAGCTCGCTCGTTACCGCTTACACGAAACTTTTTACCGTTGTGAAAGTTTTCGCAAATCGTGGTTCGAACCTTACTTCCACGAACAAACTTGCAGTTTAATTTTGTAAAAACTTGCTCGCCATGAAGCAGATTTTGAAATTCTATTTATGATCCAGTTAGACATTTTCTAACATGCATTTTCAAACGACTCTTCCCCCTACGAGCTTCTTGATCTTCTTTGTGTTACAGGAAATTACTGGATACTTCACATCATGTGGCCACCGTACACGTACATTATACACACTCCGAATGATCACTGTCACAGAACTCTTTATCTGTTTTCCTTGGCACATCTGGGCGTGATATATATCACTTTCGGAATCATACTGCTCGTGATAACCGTACTGGCGTCTTTCAGAATCCTAGCGTGTCCGTTGCTAGAAAGGTAAGCCTTGGTCAATCGTAAATCGCCAAATCGATCGAATCGAAGCGTTCGATACGCCGCCCGCTAATTCCTCCTCAATCGCGACCCGATCTGCCGTACACGCTGGTCTGAACGTGGAATTACCACATTGTAGAATTCGGTCGATGAGACTGCTATTTGATCATGCGTTAAATCACCATGTTGTACATTCCTTGCTGCGAATTTGCGTATACGAAGCGAAAAAAAGAAAGGAGATCTATTCGAAGGTGGCGAGATAGATAGTAATACCGGTTCCTCCCTCTGTTTTCCTTATGGTTCGTTTGGTTCCAACTATTCCCTGGAACGAAAGTTCAAGGGTTATAAAGTAGTATCGCTTCACCGATATCGATACTTCAGCACGCTCTTTGTCATAGAAAGTGATCGTTTCTTACAAGCACGGCCCATTGAAATGTATAATCGAATTAAGCGTAAACAGAGACCGATACCACAGTCCCTATCGATTTACCTTCTGGTTAACCGAAAGTTTTATTCAAATTAGACAGAACCAGAACGTATCTACATCCACGCGATTCTCCTATCCCTTCTCCATTATCCCAGAGCACGGAGCTCTTGAGCCAAACTTTAGACAGCACCGTTCGAATAATCTGGATCGTTGCAGACAGCCTGGCAAGACGTCGACGAACTTCTTGCCCCTCATGTAGCGCAAGGTATTCTAGGGTATCGGGTCAGCGTGAGTCGAGCGCGGGTGTTCCGCATGCGACGCGAAAGTCAAATATTCTATACCCGGAAAGCAATCAGCCTCTGTACGTATACGTACACTTACACGCTAACTAGATGTACGTGCAAAATAGTAGGTCAACGAATTTGGTCGCGTGTCAGCGCGGCAACCTCATAAATACCCGAGGAGGCCGCGAAACCAGAAACGAACGGTGTCGTTGCAACGCGTCGATGAACCAACCGTTTCCCGTTTTGCGTGCAGCGGAAAACCGCCGGTTTTTTGCTCTTCTTGTTTCCTCCTGTCTTAGTGTTAAACGGAGGTTCGCGTGACCACAGACATCGACAGAGAAAGAATTGCACGACACGCATACCGAGCATTGTGCGCTAGTTGACCGGGTCGCCGCGTTTCCTCCCGGATCGATCTCGACGCGCGACGATATATTCAGATTGTTCAGGCAATGTTATGCTTCAGTTTTCCAGCCTGAGCACCAGGAAAACTCGCTGGTGATTCAAGGTTACAGTAGAACTCCATCTATTCGAATCCGTCGGCAGACAGATATCCAGTTCCACGAAAAGTTAGTATTTTTGTCAGTAGATTTATTTTACTCGGTTATAATCGTGATATAACCGGTTCTTTTTTTTGGGTTAATACATATTTTAGAGGTTGGTAATTTTATTGGATTTTCGAAGTACGAAACTAGAAATTTCTGAAATTGAGGAAGATACAGGAGACGCGTAGTTTCATATATGATGCGTTGTACTACTTATTATTATTAAGTGGGATAAATACAAGAAATTCTACCTTCAAATTTTTCTCAAAATTCGCTACAAATTAATCGATGATTTACATTATATACGACTCTAGTGGAGTTCATACGTATAACAGAATTATGATTTCTTTCATATAATAGAAATTCACAGTCGCATAGATTCGCATTCACGTAGATAAACAAATTCAATCAGCTCGATTTAATTTGATATTAGTTAAAATTTCGTTCCAGTAAATGGAATTTCTCGCAGACGTAACGAATCTTAACACTTCGGTAGATGGAGAAATATTTATGTAGAAATTTTCTAGAATATAAGCGGAAGTGGGAACAATGGAACATTTGTGACAATAGTAGACGATAGTAGGATCGTTCGATCGAGACTGCTTGAAGTAATCCGTCTTATAGATGCCGGATAGTGTTCTAAAAGGTCGACGTCGCGTGATCTACAGCACGGATACTTACGACACAAACCTACTGTAACAAGACCATCCATCGAGAAATGAATCTTGGAAATTGTACGAAATATTACACATCGACTTTTACGAAACATCGTTCTTTATGCCACCATTGCTAAACAAATGGCAGTAAAATAGTATATTGGTAATATTTGACTAATATTGTATTATTTTACTACTTTTATTTTATTTTAGTAATATTTCAAAATTCAAATATTTTCCATTTCTCTAAACGTTCGCGATATTTCGCGAATATAAACTGCCGAGTTAACACTATGACAGAAGATATTATATTAAACACATGGTGCCAACATTTCGACTGTGCATTTGGTACCTACGAGAAGGAATTTTTCATTGAAATCGATGCGTAACATTTTCTACAAAATTTCAAGTTCCAAAAGCCATCCGTCATTCGTCGAAATATTTCGAATAATTTTTTACTCGTGTTTTCATGGCTTCGCGTTTATTACTAAGCTAAAGTAAATACTTCGCGATTTACATCGATTCGTATTGACTTCTTTCTTCCAGATACAGATAACAACAACGATTTAATTACGTAAATGAAGCGGTATCACAGAAACGACGAGTGCAAGTAGAATATGGCCAGAACATCGTCCAAGGGCAAATTTTGAAATCTGTCGTAAAGCGGAATGACGATTGCGCCAAGCATGACAGCGTTTCCAATGATCAAACCTGCAACCGAACCTACAACCACTATCACTATTACAAACTATTACCGACGGCTCAGAAACTTGGACCCTCGAGTTGCGACGGAAAGAAGAAATTGCATTTACAGTTTAACATCGGCTGCGACGTCGAATCGAAAGTAAATTATGGAAATCGACAATTCGTAACCTAACAAACTCCAGGAGAATTGGAATTATGCGAAGATAGCTGAAAGCATGATCGTGTCGATCGAACACCGTAGAATCTGGCAAATTACCATCAAACCCCAAGGAAACAAACGACTTTCAAAGAAGATTCTTATCTACCGACTATATTCACGCACTAAGCAGTAACTTTGACGAGGAAGAATCGATTTCGCGAAGATTAAACTTCCTTTGCCAAAACGAAAACATCTCTTCCAAGAAAGAAGGAAAATAATCAGAATACACGTACAGCTACGGAAATTGTATGTAGGTGGTAAACTTACGTTACCGGAATCTATTCAAGAGAAGTTTATCGCTTGGGATTTTGTGAGAAACCCTGCCTGCATCGTAAAATTCGAATAATCTGGATGAGAAGAGGCGAAGAGGAAAATACCAGAAGATTCTTTCCAAGTAAAAAATCATGGAAGATAAAGAAACCGTTGGAACAATTCACGAGAAGAAACAGACGATAAAGAATACTGGATGTTTATTGTCACGAGACACGCGTAGGCGTATATACGTAATAAGCTGTTATTCGATTTAAAGCTGGGATCTAATCAGCAAATCAAATTCAACGACGCAGCTCTCTCCGACGAGCAGCGTTTCCGGAACGTAAAGAAAAGGAGGGCCACAAACCGTACACAAAGCGAACAGCAAAGAAAGATACATCAGAAAATTCCCGACAATTTCTGCCTATATTTTAAGAATTATGAAAAATATCCGGCTCATCGAAGAAGATCTTAAATCTTTCACGAGGATTTCACTAAAATCAGAAAAACAGCGACGAAGAAAAAAGCTTTGTAATCGTTCATCGATTCCTGACGGTAATGTTTATTAAGAAAACCGAAGGTAAGCGACGCTTTTATTGTTCCTTTTCTTTGGATACTTTCGACGATCTCGAAAGTTCGCGCTTGATGGAGCTTGTATCAAATAGGTGTAAATCTTGTCAATCAATAACAATTACGTCGTGACGTGTAATATTTACGAAGGTGGATGTACTTTTTGTCGATACTTTTATCCAGGTCCATTCGAAGAGCTTTCCGCATATATATCGACTGGCTAACACGTTTTATTGTCACGTGAAAATCCGTACAAAGGAGTTTTGTTGTACATAATACTTTTTATAAGTGTTTTTATCGGCGGTTATGGGGTTCCATTCATGTTGCATGTTATTCGAACTACGAGGTCGGTACAAACGTATCTGTGTAGCTAACACTGAAATCCATTTAACTGTTAACTGGTCTGTCACACTAACCAATGTTTCTCTTTACCTTCATTCGTTTCTCGGTTTTTTTCTTATTTAATCGTAATCGTTTATTTTAACTACTATATTCTTTCGTTTATACACCGCGTTCAATGTTATAACAAAACATACGCATTCTGTTGAAACAAACCCTCGTAGATCTTCTTTCTCGCGAACAACGTGGGTCTGCGGTTAACAGTTAAAATCCAATTAATACGATGTCACAAGGTTACCAGAATACAACAGAAAATCGCGATGTTTAATGTTTCATCGATTTATGTCCATCATCTTCAACTCGAGGTGACGGAAATCGTCGTCACGATGTTGAACAGTGTCAAGAAAAAAAAAAAAAAAAATTATGTGTATTTCGTTCGTGTCTGTTATTAATCGCGAAGGCTCGAATATATCACTAATCTGATACAATGATAAAGCCTAACAAAGGATATGTTGTCTGTAAACTATTTTAAGGATGATGTATCGTTCGATGTATTTTCGTTGCTTTTCACGAGGTAACGCGATCAGGACGACCCGCGTGACTTCCGCTGAAAATTCTCTTAGCTCGGTGTGTGGCAAGTACATACCAATGACTGTCGACTATGGAAATAAAAAAGAAGCGAAATCTGATTGAAAAGAGGACAAAATGAATAAGTGTCAATTAAATCAGCGCATCGGAAATTTCATTCCATCGCCGTGAAACACTAACGGTCGATGACACTTTGATGTATACATACACGTATATATATATATATATATTCTGTCTATATATCTACATATATACAATAAATACCTATACACGTACGCTCTTACGCTATTAAATAGTCGTTATTGAAGAATCGACCAAAACAAGATGAAGAAGAGCTCTATAGGTATTTTTAGGGACACGACACGAACGAGACACGTTCATTGAAAACGTGTGTTTCTCGTTCGGCACGCGTGTCATCTAAATGAGAGTATAAACGTATAGAGAAAGGCTCATCTTCAATTCTACGTACGACGTCCATGATTGCGTGGCGATTCGAAAACGGGTCCATACTTATAGTTGTCCGTACGAGTAAATGTTACTAATCTGTAATCGTGTACACTTTGTCGATGTAAAAAAAAAAAAAAAAAAATGTATGTGAACCATCTTAGTTAAACAACTGTATTCGTTAATCGCGTTCGCGATCGTTCTTCTGAGTTTCAGCCAAGATGGCGAATGTATCGTTTCAACGTACAATTCAACGTACAAAATCAACGTACAATTTTCAGTCGAACAAAGAACAAAAGAAAACAGTAGACGAATAATGCGAAGATGTTTACTTGCTCTATTAAATTGATATATGTTTGCCAGTGACTGTGTCGACGAGTTTATGACACTTCGTTGAGAACGCAGATCGTCTATTAAATTGCCGACGGGAAAATCAGCGGAATCGTTGCCCGATTTTCGCGAAAACCGTGCCTGGCGAACTGAAATCAACTGAAAATTTCATTTCCGAGCTGTCAAACGTGTACGTGTACCGTGTTGTGATTTATGAGATGCAAAATTCTTTACCATCGTCTACTGACAATTTGGCTCGACAGGAAAACGCACTACGACTGAATCAAACGAAAAAAAAGATATTATTTGGAGAATCCAGAATCATTAACAAAATCAACAGATCATCCTATATGCTCGCATAACGATAAGATCGAAACGGGTAAGCACATAGAGGCTGCAGGCGCCAGGCACGAACCTCGTCCATGTGCACAACGAAGTACAAAGAAAAAGAAGGAATCAGCCAAAAAATTTAGCAGAAATTCACACGCATCGCGTACATGATAGAATTCAACTCGGAGGCGTATAAAATTAGAGGCACACGAAGTGAAAAAAGGACTTGAATATGTAGTTACGTATGAAATTTAACGCGTAACACGCGCCAACGTTTCGAGGGATTTTCTAACGAGTTTCGTTGAATCTACTCGAAACGATGTTTTACAGGAGTCTCGTGGGATCTACGACACTACGAACGAATAGGATTACCGAGAAACGAGAACGCTCAACTTCCATCTGCACTGCTTGCCGGAAACAAATATGTACTTATCTTCGATCATTCCATTCGCTTAAAACATTGACTATCGCGTCATAGCAAAAATCACAGACGTAAGTGCGTTCACCATCGAATCTTTCGCAGTCACTATTTACGCGGTAGCTCGTATCGATAAAACTTGGTTCACAATCGTATTAAGGAATCAACGAAACGAAGTATTCCCATGACGTGGTTACATTGATTAGCTGAATAGCAGCGAAACTGTTTGCTCATTAGTTGTTTCACGACAATTTATCGCATACTATTAATCATTGCAGATTTTCATTAGCGCCGTTCACGGCCGTACGAGTAAGTGTGAACGAGTGAATGACACGAGTGAATGCGTTGTAACGCTTGCTACAATTTTACAATGAAGATTATCGGGAAATCGTGAAAACGTAAATCTGTATTTGCCTCGCGTCCCTCTTTCTGTGGAAAAAGTTACATAGTTTGATTTTCGAATTGGCGAAATAAAAGTGAAGTGGAACAAACGGTTCGACCGAATGCGACGACGATTTTAATCGGGGCCGGTAACTCGCCATTTCGATAGTCAACTGAAATCGACAGGCGCAAATAAACCCATCGTTTCGATATTCTTCCGAGGGTGACAATATTCGCGGAAATATTTTTTCGCAGACGCGAAACCAGTGATACTGGCCTAAGGTACTCTGAAATTTCAATTAAAACGCTGCGCGACGACAAATATGAAATTAATCAACAAAATGATTTCGCGATTTGATTTAACATTTCCACGAATCCCGATGCCCTGTAAAGTGGATGTAATATAGATCTATACATATATAGTATATACATGTATATCTGTCTCTGTACGCGAGTCGTGAAAGAGAAATCCTGTTACTCTGTACGGAACCGAGCTACAATAGGACACAAGGTTCCTCTTTGGCGATCTCCTCTAATCCGTAGCACGTAAGAATTAACAATTGTGTTGATATATTTAATATAAACGTGTCGTTGGATTTATATAGAATAGAGAGCTTATTTATTTTTATACTGGATGGTTTGATAGCGTCCTATATATTTAATTAAACAACGTGCAAGCGGCGAAGAGATGCTATTTATTATTATCGCGAGATTTCTTCGTTTATTCAGATTTCGCTATACGCGTGACTCGCGTCGGTTGATTTTGTCGTTGATTAACAGATCGTCGTATTAATTAAAATAAATATCATACATGTACGTAATAATACATAAACGTAATACATATCTTGTAATTATGTGACAAATATAACGTTTTTCAGTGAGAACATTTTAGAAATGCGTGAGGTGCGTTTAGTCGTGTCGTAAACTATTTAAGTAGTGGTTAGAATTATTTGCACGCACTAACATCGCGAATGTGGTCCAGGCTTTAACGTAGAATTCACGTCGTTAACACGTTCCAGTGTTTCCTTCCTTGGTACCCGAAAATAGCGATGGAAACCATCCAAATGTTACCAGATCAATCGAACTTTCATTTTGCGACCTTGAACAATATCCCAGTACCATTGTAACTTCTATATCTATATCCGTATCGCGCGGTCACCCTTTCCAGCGATGCTACAAACTAATTTCCTGTCCCGTGCTTCATCATCGATATTATTACGCCTTCGTTCAAGAAACAGAAAAGTTGCCAGCGCTATTTACGGGGCCGAACCAACTATGTATCGCATATACATCGATTACATTTTTCTACACCATTTGCACTATACCAACGAGCATGCTACGACTCGTGTTCTTTCGATATAAATATACCTCATTAATCGTCCGTGCGTAGAGAATACGAGTTGGGAGATCGCATCGTGCGCGAAATTAACATCGAAAGCAGTACCTCTGAGGGCGAGGCGCCATAACTGGGCGCCAGCTCGTACACGCGTATTCTTGTTCGACCATTAGTTTCGACGCGGCCGTTAATTAGGTCGACCGATTAATACGAGCGTGAAATAACGTTTAAAAAAAAAAAAAAAAGGAACAACGGCAGAAATGAAACGATATAGATGCTAATAAACAGTGCACGTTGCAACATGTCCACCAAAGTACTCCGCGATTACTAGATAGCGCCGTGCTGCTATTGATTTTCCACGGTTTATAGAGGATGGCAAGAAGAACGCTACGTCTTTTTCCTTTTTTGCTATCGTTACGATCGCGATTAAAATATGAACTGCTATGTGTAACGAATGGCTTCTTTCAGAATCGAATATCAAGCATACGAACAGGAAAGTGAGAAGTGAATGAAAATAGGATTCGTATTGAATAAATAAAACGTCCCTATTTTGTCGCGAGAGTCGGCAACCCCTTGTACTCGCGTCGAGGCCGAAGTAGTTTCGTCTTGATATTCTTTCGCGAAGCCATTCGAACGAGTACGGCGCGAACGTTTGTTTGTCTAGTCTCTCCCGTTAATATGGCCATTTAACGTGTTCTCATTTGCCCGAGAAATTAACGCCTCAGCTCGATTCATAAAAGCGTGTAACATCTACACACCTCCGCTTCTACCGAAGGCAGCTCGTTTCGTCGAACAACCACACGAAGCGGAATTGCACGTCAAGCAGTCATAGCTGTCGAATTACCATCGATCGCGTCACTGGTGACATTTTTCCTTACCTGGCGCGAACACACCGTTTCCCAAGGCCCACGCTCAAGCCAACAAGCAAGAGATCGTATTCACGCGAACCTGGCAGCGAAATATCGGCCAATCATCGGGTATCGTCGATTCGAATACGAAATAGACCTTGTCGCAGGACTGGCAGAACGTCCGAAAGGGAGCACATCGAAAATTATTTTTTTAAAAGCGCCATGTTTCGAGTGACTTTACACCGCGACCAATCGTGAACCTGTACCTTATTGTTAGAGCAATGTCTTCGAAACGACGATACGTACTCGTACTTTCGGTCGACAGAGAATGTCTGTACTGGTAATTATTCGTTGTTTTATCAATTCCGCTGATTTATCGTGTTGCCAGGTGAACAATAGCTGGTATAACGTTTACACCTCGTTTCGACGATAGATACACGTCGATTACGCTTCCGTGCGTATTATACTTAATCGTTGTAACGTCCTTACACAAAGCGGTAGCGTGACGATATGACACGATTCGAGCGTGTATAACGATCTCTTGGAACGTGTCCCAGGAAGTTGTACATCTTTTGTGAACGCACAGTTGCACGGCTCATATATGGGATGCGCGTCGCTTTTTGTTCTTATATCCCTGTCAGTCTGTTTATGACTACTTCGTGTTATAACTATAAGTTACGAGGCTATATTTCATTGCCGCGACCAAGGAACAGCGAATAAATTCACAGAGAATACTTAATAACGACATGATCGGCAGTAAATGTAACTTTCAGAGGAGGCGTTCCGTCAATAAACGTTGCGGCTATTTAAAGTAAATTGAACCTCGAATTGCGACGTATTATCTGCATGTAGCAGGCGACGAAACTCGGCTCGACACCATACAGTACCGGAGCTTATCGCCTCGACATGTTTCGTTAAATTAAATTACCCTCGAAACCGGCGAATTTGCCTCTTCCTCTCCATAGCTTACAACGCCGACACCCATTGCGCAGTTGCTGCTAATCAAGCACGCCTATGATACAATCTATCGCGCGTATCCCAATTACGTGATACGAGCAATATTTCCGTGCTCGCGATAATAACATTCAAATAAGGAAGGGTCAAAGGGAAAAGAAAAAAGGAAATGAAAAAGGCGAGAAGAGGGAAAGAGATCGAGAAGAATGTCGGAACGCGTTCCCTCTACTGTCGAGGGAAAAACGTGCAATCAAACGATGGAGCAGTGCCAGTGCACGCATATCCTTGGATCCGCGAGCAAACATACGCGTGCACGTTATCTATCTATCGTATCTATCGCTGTAGAATCAAGAATGAATCGAGTATGTAAGAAGAAATTCGTTTAATTCTGTACGTGTACACTTGCGATATTAACATTCAATTTGCGAGTAAAACAATTGTAAACGATGTGGTGGACTCATATTGTGACCCATTTGTAACGTAACCGCCGAGTACTGTGAATAAAAAGTGTCTACGTGGTACGCATGATGTCTACATTGAACGTGAAACGACCTCTTTGACCTAAATCATTGTCCATCTTCGGGCTTCACGTTCCCTTTTCTTGTCACATCATATACTCTGACCATTTCGTTATTACCATCAAACACCGTGATATGAAACGCAACGAAGACGAAGGGCGGAGCTAGTGGAAAATCTTCAAAGGTATACGCGTTGGCCTCTTTCGATCAGAAAATATTTTTCTTTGATGCTTCTCGTGAAAGTACAAAATTGAATTAAAAAGAAGATAAAACGATGCCGCTGGAATGTTTTAGAGTAAGTGCTTTTTGATAGCGCGAGAGAAAGAGTAACGAAGCGGAATGTTCGCGTAGATTCGTGGACACGTAGCTGATAAAATTCGAAGTTTCCAACGTCGTCATAAATATAAAGATCATTGATTTAACAAAGAGGCGAAGGGAATAATCGTGTTCGACTAACAAAAAAAATGATCTAATAAATGCAACAGGAACATTAGAGCACACGATTCAAGACAGTGGTGAAGTTAGAATTAGCATAATCACGCTGTTCTTTAATTTCTCGAATAATTTTTCGATCAATTTTTCTATTCTCTCGCTTCTTTTTTTCATGCTTGTTGCAGTTTAGTAAATTTATGCGTGGAAAATTTAAAAAATTGCTATAATCACGGTACGTTCTTTTAAATTCGTTCACGTAGATATAAGCAAGATAAAAAAGGATAATAGGATAAAAGTAAGTAGCAGCGCCTTTATCGTTGAGCTGCAAATCAGCGTAGTCCAGCGCTGCGTAGTTGCTCCAGGCAAATACGGAATTCAATCTAAATGTAAATATAGGTCGAGCCGTATTCCGAAAGGACGAGTTCGGCCGCGAAAAGGAGGATACGGAAACAACGGAGGATGAACTCCGTCGAGTGTGCCGTTTCCGAAAGTTGCCGTAAACTTTTATTCCGACAGCCCTTCCACATGCTATTCTTCCTAACCTTCAACGAAGGAATCATACAGGCATTATTACATCTCTAGAAAAACATAATCGACGAAATCATATCGAAAAATTGTCGAAGTAAATATTGACTGTTTTACGAGTTTTGTCAATTTTTATCATAAAATTCCGAGAAAACATTTTCTACGATCTCTTCTGAATTCGAAACTAGAGTTTCCATCCCGAACTTCTTCAGTGATTTGGGATTTGGTTAAAATTTGTTGACGAAACTCTCTCTCTCCTGGATCCTTGAAAAATTATTGGTACGTCTGTACAGTTAAAGATTGCGAATAACTTATGGAAGAGATTCTCGGCTATCACTGCTGTTTTACTTGTTTCTCACGAAATTCAGATTCCTGTGTTGTCATTCTTTTATCATTCTGCCGAAAGATCAAATACCAATTAAGGGAGTAAACGATGAAAAAGTAAATGTGATTTTTACATTGTTAAGAAACGATCGAATTGACGATAAGAGAAAGACGTAATTATTTATCGCGATCACTGGTTTTCGTTTCCCTGATGTATCATCAGAAATTAGAAAACAGAGTTGATAGATCTCACGTAAGGCGCTTAAATTCCATTGGCGAAGGATCGTCGCAGCGTTTTACCCGGAAAATGTAAGAGGATTACCGGTGTGGATGCCGATAGTTTGCAGAAAATAGCGCTAGAAACCTGCTCTCTGTGACATCGACGCTTCCTTATCACGAATAAAATGACTTGACGACGAACGAATGAATGCTTCGAGTACAAGCAAAAATCATTTTACTTCTTCCCAGAACTTTGAAGATCAGCCATCAAAGTTATCGTATTTTTGCGTAATTTTTACGCGACGAGCTCTCGATTTGCTCGTCGATTTTCGTCCATATTCTCGTCGCCCAATTTTACTGTATAATTTGAATTTTTATTCGTTCGGATTGTGGCAAAAATCACTGAATTTTCCCGTGTTCCCTGGGGACTGTGCAAACTGCTGTGAAAATCGAAACTGCATAGTGAAATATACACACACATACACCAGGCAACTTCTAAAAATTCTGACGAATTAATCACGCATTTGTCGCGTGAAATCTTTGTCGGCCAGAGCAGTATTAGATTAGAATATTTGAATATCCAGTTAAATCAGAGACAGTCGTACGAATTTTTCTCCGTCGGAGAAACCAATGTTAACTGTGTAACCGACAGAAATCCCAGAGTCGGGCTTAGAGTCGCAGACTAAAAGTCTGGACTCGTGTTTCCCTTCCGAGTAACTCGAGTGGCTGCTTTTGGGGTTGACATTTGACGACGCGACGATTTTATTCGAACCATACGCACGTACACGCGGCAATTCTACTCGTGTCACGTAACACATGACCTACGAAAAAAGGATCGCACAAAGGAAACCGCTAGGAGAATGCCTGAAAGAGGTGACATTAATTCTACGTAGACGTATGTATAGGTATATGTGTAAATGGTCGCGTTCGTCCTGACAGCCATTTAATCGTCGTGCATAAAGCTGTTGCGGTCAACCAATTAAAATTGTGGGAACCACTCAGATCGAATAATTTTACTACGCAGTTGTTTATCATGTGATGTCATTATGTCGTGGAAATCGTGCGACGGACCACGGGTTTATCGATTATTATAACGATTTATTATCGCAAGGACTTCCCCTCTCTGCAACGTAGTTCATGGTTTTCTAATAACGATAAAATGGTCTTTGGAATTTCTGTTGTTATGAATCTCGATCGACAGTATTTATAATCGATAGTAGACGTACAATTGTCTGCTCGATGTAGAGCGGAGCGAGTTTTGACGCGCCAGCGTTTTACACATATTTTAACGGTACGTTGCGTTATATGGAAAAATACATAAATACAAGTGGGTGCTGTGCTCGTGACGAATAGAAATTGCGAGCGTATATTTACATACACGTATATGTGTGTACACAATTGACGCTCTTTTATTTCTATATACCGATGCGACGCGCGAGGGAAGAACACACATCTGCATCGACCATTAAAACTCGAATATTCATCGAAAATAGGGTGCCATAGCAGTTTCAAGTTGTAAAGTAGTTCGTTTACTTTGTGTTCGTTTGGTCGTTTATTTTCACAACGACAACGCGTTGGTGGCGCCAGTCAGGAGGGCGAAACGATGCCACCTTAATGTCCTTTGGAAGGGGCGAATCAACTCGATGGAACAGATTATGGAAATTTATTGCGCAGTGTTTCGAATAGGGTCAAGGTTGGTCAAAGTCGAGCACTGTTTTATATAATTCGAGCGTAAGGCCGCTTGGACCGCCAGTTACCCCGATTCCTTCTTTCCCCATGTTCGACTTCCGCAAGTAATGTCGCTGTATTGCAAGATCGATTCATGATGATTCGAAACTTTTCGTTTAGTTAATAAAAGATCGCCAAACTTCGAGGTACCTAACCAGGAAGGTTTCCAAGCGCAGCAGGAATTCATGAAATTCGTAGTCGTTGTAGACCTATTTACGTCGAAGCGGAACATTGATAGTCAGAAAGCTAAAAGCGAAGCAAGTTTCATCATATCATATATGTACCTACAGAGTGAGCAGTTCATCGGAAATTACAACTTCGAATAACTTTTGCTACTCGGATAGCCTCTGGCAACATGATAACGACTTCCATGCCTCTGGGTGCGTTCAGTGACCGTCACATCCGCCACAAATAATCTCACGAAGATCTCACGATAAATCGTGAAACGAGACTGTTCCGAGTTTTATGAGTGTCTCTTACGACATTTCCAGAGAAACAGACACGAGCAAACGCGATAGAAGAGTCAAAGTACGCGCCATTCAAGGTGGATACGAGAAATGTGTGGAGGGTTATAGAGAATGGTTGATCGTGAGATTTATAAAACGAGATTGCTCGTTGTTGAAATCGTCAAGTATATTTAAAATGATGAATAAATCAATACAGGCGATAATCGCTCGTACTAACAAATTAGCTAAGACAGTGTATAATCGCTAAAATATTCGCTGATAACTCGTTGGTAATTGATAGATACTTCTTCGCGCGACTAACTGTTAACTGATTGATGACTGAACTCCTTACGATCCTTGTATTTATACTGGTTGATGGAGTACCGAGAAATTCAAATTCGTCTTCGTTTGACGATTGCACATAGCGGCGACATTGTTTAGCCCGGAATTTATTTATTACTAAGTAAACTCCA